GTCAGTCCGATGACGACAGCGGGGAACTCCGGTGATGGATGCAGACAGGTCACAAGCATATTGGTAGCGACAATCTAGGTGAAAATTTTGACGACCAGCAGCGGCGGTCCACATTTAAAAGTCTATGGACTTTTTGAAAGTCAATAAACTTATCCATGGATTTAAAAGTCCATAGAATTCATTCATAAAAAAGTCTATGGATTTAAAACTCTATTGACTTTTTTAAAAGTCCATGGATTAAAAAAAGTCCACAACAATCCATATTGAATACACCCCCCTTAGTTTGTTTAGCAGTAACTCTAACTACGTGCTACCTCCCTTCCAAAATATTTTGCAAAATCAATTTCCTATTTCTTTTTTGTCAAATAACATTAAAGCTAAATCTCTCAATGATTTTTTTTGGAAAAAAATCTCTCAATAATTAATTCAATTTAAATAATTAAGATTTACATATTTGAAGGAAATTACTTTAATGTGTATTCGTTATAGATAGAGAGTGTATCTAGGGTTTATATGTATTGATCTAATTGGCTCATTGAGTCATGTCTTGTAAAACTCTAATCTCTCCTATTTAAAGGGGGCTTACTAATGGAATGAGAACATGATTCACTTCCATACAACATGTTATCAGCTTGTATACTCTAGAAGCCCTAGATTATTTTTCTGTCAAGCATCGTAGCAGACCTCTGCAAGACTCTCCTCTCTCCTCTCATCATCATCAACCCACAACAAAAGCCACACTTTGAGGAATAGTGGGACCACACACACTATCCTACGAAATAGGCAATCATTTGTTAAATTAATAGCCTAATTCTTATGTGAGTACAATGATTGGATCTTCAGATGTACTAAGAGGGTGAGGTACTGCCCAATTTTGTTGCCTAATGGCACAAGATTCATCATCACAGACGCTCAATATGCACCTAGAGCTACCTGGACCTTATTAAGTTTTAAAGATATTCGTGATAATGGGTTTCATGTGGAAACTCACTGTGAGAATGGTGTATAGTATTTATGCATTACCTCTAATGAATGCGGAAGAAAACGCATACTAGAGAAATTAATGAGTCAATCTAGTGGACTTTATGTCACCGCTATTTGGATCTTTGAATCTTATGTTGTTGCCAACGATGAAATTTGGGACACAGACTCATACAAGCTTTGACACGATCGTCTTGGACACCCTGGTCGTGACATGATGTTTCATATATTAAAAAAATCACATAGACATCCTTTCTTTCGAGGAAGGAGTAAATATGGGCAAAAGTCAACCACGTTGAAAAGGTGTTAGCCCTACATGTATACAAACTGAAAAAGCATCTTTTGAACTACGAGAAGAATTAGCTCATGCATCTTTAGCTATGTCCAGATCAAAAATGACATTTTAAAAAAGCCTGCTCTTTAGCGAAAATAGGATCGAGACCATCATATGCTAAAGACACAAAAGAAAACATCTCATTATTACCAAGAATACAAGGAGATATATGTAGACCCATCCATCCAGAGTGCGGACCATTTAGATACTTTATGGTTTTGGTGGATCCATCGACCCGTTAGTCACACGTTGCTTTACTGTCTACACAGAACGCTGCATTTGCAAAGCTCCTAGCATAGACAATCCGTTTAAGGGCTCACCACCCTGATAATCCTATCAAGTCAATAAGACTTGATAATGCCGGTGAGTTTACATCAAAGACTTTTGATGAAAATTACATTTCCATTGTGATCGATGTAGAGCATCATGTTCCCCATGTACATCCACAAAATGGTCTCGCAGAAACTACAATCAAAAGACTACAAATGATAGCTAGGGCATTGGTTATGCGCACCAGCTTGCCCATATCTGCATGTGGATATGCAACATTACATGCAACAATACTTATTCTCTTTAGGCCCACTGTAAACCAACCATTTTTTGCATACTAGTTAGTCACTGGATATGAGCCTGACATTTCACATCCAAGCATATTTGGTTCTGCAGTATATGTGCCAATTGCGCCCCCACATCGTACTTAAATGGGTCCTCAAAGGCGAATAAGTATATATGTTGGATATGAATCTCCAACCATCATCCGCTATTTAGAACCTTTGACAGGCGATCTTTTTACCGCACGATTTGCGGATTTTCACTTTGATGAGACAACATTCACGTCATTAGGGGGAGATAGGAAAACAAACTTTTCAAAGGGACGACATGAATTGACCTGGTGCGATCCGACCTTGTCTCATTTTGATATCCCCGCACTTTACAATGTGAAAGTGAAGTTAAATGAATGATTGATCTCCAAAATGTAGCAAACTCTATGCACGATTCATTTACAGACATCGTTAAATTGACAAGATCACACATATCAGCGGCAAATGTGCCTGCAAGGTTAGATATCTCCAAAAAGGGAAATAGTGCCATAGTAGGAGGCACTATAACCACACTTAGTGGAGGTGTGGTTGAGGTCGTGGCTCCTCAAAGGAAGAGAGGAAGACCACTTGGTTCGATTGATAC